TGGGTGTCAGTGGGTGCTATGGGTGTCGGGGGGCTATGGGTGTCGGTGCTATGGGTGTCAATGGGTGCAGTGGGTGTCAGTGGGTGCTATGGGGTCAATGGGGGGCATCAATGGGTCTCAGTGGGGGTCAGTGGGGGTCAATGGGTGCCAATGGGTATCAGTGGGTGTCAATGGGTATCAATGGGTATCAGTGGGTATCAATGGGTGCCACTGGGTATCAGTGGGTGTCAATGGGTATCAAAGGGTGTCAATGGGTGTCAGTGGGGGTCAATGGGTGCCAATGGGTGTCAATGGGTGTCAGTGGGTCTCAATGGATGTCAGTGGGTCTCAATGGGTCTCAATGGGTCTCAGTGGGTCTCAATGGGTGTCAATGGGTGTCAATGGGTCTCAATGGATCTCAATGGGTCTCAATGGGTCTCAATGGGTGTCAATGGATGTCAATGGGTGTCAATGGGTCTCAATGGGTGTCAATGGGTGTCAATGGATGTCAATGGATGTCAATGGATGTCAATGGGTGTCAATGGGTCTCAATGGATGTCAATGGGTCTCAATGGGTGTCAGTGGGTGTCAATGGGTCTCAATGGGTGTCAATGGGTGTCAATGGGTGCTCTCTCCCCCCAGAGGCGGAGGCGGCTCCGGGTGCCGATGGGGGCGGGGCCCTGCAGGGGGCGCTGCGGCGCATCCTGGGCGCGCTCCTGCGCTCCCCCATGGGCCCCCCCTCAGCCACTGCCATCAGGTACCGGGGCACCCATGGGTGGGGGGCACCCATGGGGGGGGCACCCAATGTGGTGGGGGGAACCCAATGGGGGTGGGTGACACCCAATAGGGGTGGGTGACACCCATGGGTGGGGGGCACCCGACAGGGGGGGCCACTCAATAGGGTTGGGGGCACTCAATGGGGTGGGGGATACCCATTGGGGATGGGGGGCACCCAATGGGGTCGGGGGCACCCAATGGGGTCGGGGGCACCCATTGGGGATGGGGGGCACCCAATGGGGTGGGGGGCACCCATTGGGGATGGGGGGCACCCAATGAGGTCGGGGGTACCCATTGGGGATGGCGATCACCCAATGGGGTGGGGGGCACCCATTGGGGATGGGGGGCACCCAATGGGGTGGGGGGCACCCATTGGGGATGGGGGGCACCCAATGAGGTCGGGGGTACCCATTGGGGATGGCGATCACCCAATGGGGTGGGGGGCACCCATTGGGGATGGGGGGCACCCAATGGAGTCGGGGGTTCACATTGGGGATGAGGAGCACCCAATGGGGTGGGGGGCACCCATTGGGGTTGGGGGGGCACCCAATGGGGTGGGGGGCACCCATGGGTGCTGACCCTCCCCCAGTGCCCCCCCGGGGGGGGGGTGAAGCTGCACCCAGGCCCCTGCGACCTGGGAGCCATCGGGAGCTGCTGGAAGGAGGCCACTACGACTCCGTGGTGAGGGGGCACCCATGGGTGCTATTGGGGGGGCACCTATGGGTGCTATGGTGGGGGGGGAACCATAGGTGCTATGGGGGGGAGGGGGGGGGAGGGGGGGGAGGGCACCCATGGGTGCTATGTGTGTGTGGGGTTCCCATGGGTGCTATTGAATGGAGGGGTTGTGGGAGTCATATGGGTGCTGTGCGGGTTATATGGGTGCTATAGGGATTATGTGGGTTATATGGGTGCTATGGGGTTGTATGGGTGCTATGGAGTTATATGGGTCCCATGGGTGCTGTGGGGGTGCTATGGGGGTTATATGGGTCCTGTGGGTATTACGGGGTTTGTATGGGTGCTATGGGGTTATGTGGGTGCTATGGGGTTATGTGGGTGCTATGGGGTTGTGGGGGTGCTATGGGGGTTACATGGGTGCTCTATGGGTGCTCTGGGGGTTATATGGGTTCTATGGGTGCTCTGCAGCAGGACTTCAGCCAGGACGTCATTGGGGTGCTGCTGCGGGTGGGGGCACCCATGGGGGGCAGCCCCATAAGCGACGGCGCCCGCGAGCTCTTCATCCAGGTATGGGGGCACCCATGGGTGCTATGGGGTGGGGGGGGCAGCCATGGGCGCTATGGAGTGGGGGGGGCACCCACGGGGGGTAATGGGGCACCCATAGGGGACAGTGGGGCACCCATAGGGGTGAGTGGAGCACCCATAAGGGGCAGTGGGGCACCCATAGGGGGCAGTGGGGCACCCAAAGGGGTGAGTGGAGCACCCATAGGTGGCAGTGGGGCACCCATAGGGGTGAGTGGAGCACCCATAGGGGGCAGTGGGGCACCCATAGGGGTGAGTGGAGCACCCATAGGGGGCAGTGGGGCACCCATAGGGGTGAGTGGAGCACCCATAAGGGGCAGTGGGGCACCCATAGGGGTGAGTGGAGCACCCATAAGGGGCAGTGGGGCACCCATAGGTGGCAGTGGGGCACCCATAGGGGGCAGTGGGGCACCCATAGGGGTGAGTGGAGCACCCATAGGGGGCAGTGGGGCACCCATAGGGGTGAGTGGAGCACCCATAAGGGGCAGTGGGGCACCCACAGGGGTCAATGGAGCACCCATGGGTGCCCCTGCCCCATAGCTCATGCTCGGAGCCTTCCCCTGCTTCGACATCCGGGACCCCAAGCGCTGGCGCCCGCCCGGGGACGGGGACCCTGAGTGAGTCAATGGGTGCTGATGGGTGCTGATGGGTGCTGATGGGTGCTGATGGGTGTTGATGGGTGCTGATGCGTGATGATGGGTGACGATGGGTGTCGATGGGTGTCGATGGGTGCTGATGGGTGTTGATGGGTGCTGATGGGTACCAATGGGTGCTGATGGGTGCTGATGGGTGCTGATGGGTGTTGATGGGTGCTGATGGGTGATGATGGGTGATGATGGGTGTCGATGGGTGTCGATGGGTGCTGATGGGTGCTGATGGGTACCAATGGGTGCTGATGGGTGTCGATGGGTGCTGATGGGTGATGATGGGTGACGATGGGTGTCGATGGGTGTCGATGGGTGCTGATGGGTGCCAATGGGGTGATTTTGGGTGATTTTGAAGCTATTTTGGGGTGATTCGGGGTGATTTGGGTGATTTTGATGCTATTTTGGGGTGATTTTGGGTGATTTTGATGCTATTTTGGGGTGATTCGGGGTGATTTGGGTGATTTTGATGCTATTTTGGGGTGATTTTGGGTGATTTTGATGCTATTTTGGGGTGATTCGGGGTGATTTGGGGTGATTTTGATGCTATTTTGGGGTGATTTGGGGTGATTTTGATGCTATTTTGGGGTGATTTGGGGTGATTTGAAGCTATTTTGGGGTGATTTTGGGGTGATTTGGGTGATTTTGATGCTATTTTGGGGTGATTTGGGGTGATTTTGAAGCTATTTTGGGGTGATTTTGGGGTGATTTGGGTGATTTTGATGCTATTTTGGGGTGATTTGGGTGATTTTGATGCTATTTTGGGGTGATTTGGGGTGATTTTGAAGCTATTTTGGGGTGATTCGGGGTGATTTGGGTGATTTTGGGGTGATTTTGGGGTGATTCGGCAGTTTTTGATGCTATTTTGGGGTGATTTGGGTGATTTTGGGGTGATTTGGGTGATTTTGGGTGATTTTGGGGTGATTTGGGTGATTTTGGGGTGATTTGGGGTGATTTTGGGGTGATTTTGGGTGATTTTGGGTGCTGACCGCTCTCCCCCCACAGCCGCCTGCCCCACGCCGTGCTGCCCCCCTCCCCCGACCACACGTACGCCCAATGGCGGCCGGAGCCCCCCCTGCCCCCCCCCGGTGAGCACCCATGGGTGCCCCTCGGGGCGCCCCCTGCTGGGCTGGGACCCCTCCCCCCCCCCCCCACTGAAGCCCCTCCCCCCCCATAGAGGAAGGGGCGGAGCCTGCGGTGCCCAATGGGGGAGGGGAGGACGATCGCCAGTGCGCCCTGTGCCTGCAGTGCGGGGACGCGCCCTGCCAGGTAGGGCACCCATGGGTGCTGTGGGGGGCAACGGGTGCTAATGGATACCAATGGGTGTCAGTGGGGGTCAATGGGTGCCCATGGGTGTCAGTGGATGCCAATGGGTGCTATGGGTGCCGTGGGTGTCAGTGGGTTCCAATGGAATACCAATGGGTATCGGTGGATACCGGGAGGTGCTCTGGGTGCCAGTGGGTGCAATTGGGTGCCGTTGGGTGCTCTGGGTGCTGTCGGTGCCAATGGGTACCAATGGGTGCTCTGGGTCCCAATGGATATCAATGGGTGCTATGGGTGCCAGTGGGTATCAGTGGGTACCAATGGGTGCTATGGGTTCCAATGGGTATCAATGGATGCCAATGGGTACCAGTGGATGCCAATGGGTGCTATGGGCGCCAGTGGGTTCCAATGGGGATCAGTGGGTGCCAGTGGGTGTCAATGGGTGCTGATGGGTTCCAGTGGGTACCAATGGATGCCATTGGGTGCTCTGGGTGCCAATGGGTTCCAATGGGTACCAGTGGATGCCAATGGGTGCTATGGGTTCCAATGGGTATCAGTGGGTATCAATGGGTGCTATGGGTGCCGATGGGTTCCAATGGATGCCCATGGGTGCTATGGGTTCCAGTGGGTACCGATGGGTGCTCTGGGTTCCAATGGGTACCGATGGGTGCAATGGGTGCCGATGGGTTCCAATGGATACCAGTGGGTACCGATGGGTGCAATGGGTGCCGATGGGTTCCAGTGGATACCAGTGGGTACCGATGGGTGCAGTGGGTTCCAATGGGTACCGATGGGTGCAATGGGTGCCAATGGGTTCCAATGGATACCAGTGGGTACCGATGGGTGCAATGGGTGCCAATGGGTTCCAATGGATACCAGTGGGTACCGATGGGTGCAGTGGGTTCCAGTGGGTACCGATGGGTGCTCTGGGTGCCATTGGGTGCTGTGGGTGCTGCTGCAGGACGAGGGCCGGCTGCTCTACATCGGGCAGAACGAGTGGACCCACGTGAACTGCGCCCTGTGGTCGGCTGAGGTCTTCGAGGAGGGCGACGGGACCCTGCGCAACGTGCACGCCGCCGTGGCCCGCGGGCGCCAGATGGTCAGCACCCATGGGTGCCACGGGGGGGGTGTTCAGTGGGGGCTATGGGGTGGTAAATGGGTGCTATGGGGTGTTCAATGGGTGCTATGGGGTGGTAGATGGGGGCTATGGGGTGGTAGATGGGGGCTATGGGGTGGTAAATGGGGGCTATGGGGTGGTAAATGGGGGCTATGGGGTGATAAATGGGGGCTATGGGGTGTTCAATGGGGCTGTGGGGTGATAAATGGGGGCTATGGGGTGATAAATGGGTGCTGTGGGGTGTTCAATGGGGGCTGTGGGATGATAAATGGGGGCTATGGGGTGGTAAATGGGGGCTATGGGGTGGTAAATGGGTGCTATGGGGTGACAAATGGGGGCTGTGGGGTGTTCAATGGGGGCTGTGGGGTGATAAATGGGGGCTATGGGGTGATAAATGGGTGCTATGGGGTGGTAAATGGGGGCTATGGGGTGGTAAATGGGGGCTATGGGGTGTTCAGTGGGGGCTGTGGGGCTGTTCAATGGGGGCTATGGGGTGGTAAATGGGGGCTATTGGGGTGTTTAATGGGTGCTATGGGGTGGTAAATGGGGGCTATTGGGGTGTTAAATGGGGGCTATGGGGTGTTCAATGGGTGCTATGGGGTGGTAAATGGGGGCTATTGGGGTGTTCAATGGGTGCTGTGGGGTGTTCAGTGGGTGCTATGGGGTGGTAAATGGGGGCTATGGGGGGTGTATGGGTGCTGGGGGGGGTATATGGGTCCTATGGGGGGTATATGGGTGGTGTGGGGTGATACATGGGTGCTATGGGGGGGTATATGAGGGCTATGGGGTGGTACATGGGTGCTGGGGGGGGTATATGGGTGATGTATCTGAGGATGCATCCATGGGGACCAGTGAGCATCCATGGGTACCACTGCTGTACCCATGGTTCCCAATGCAGCACCCATGGGTACCACTGCTGTATCCATGGTTACCACTGCTGTATCCATGGTTACCACTGCTGTATCCATGGGTACCAGTGCAGCACCCATGGTTACCACTGCTGTATCCATGGTTACCAATGCAGCACCCATGGTTACCACCACTATATCCATGGTTACCACTGCTGTACCCAAGGATGCTCAGCAGCACCCATGGTACCACTGCTGTATCCATGGTTACCACTGCTGTACCCATGGTTACCACTGCTGTATCCATGGTTACCACTGCTGTATCCGTGGTTACCACTGCTGTATCCATGGTTACCACCACTATATCCATGGTTACCACTGCTGTACCCAAGGATGCTCAGCAGCACCCATGGGTACCATTGCTGTATCCATGGTTACCACCACTATATCCATGGTTACCACTGCTGTATCCATGGTTACCACTGCTGTACCTAAGGATGCTCAGCAGCACCCATGGGTACCACTGCTGTATCCATGGTTACCACCACTATATCCATGGGTACCACTGCTGTACCCAAGGATGCTCAGCAGCACCCATGGGTACCACTGCTGTATCCATGGTTCCCAATGCAGCACCCATGGGTGCCCCTGACGCCCATGTCCCCCCCCCAGCGCTGTGAGCACTGTGGGCGCCCCGGGGCCACTGTTGGGTGCTGCCTGGCCGCCTGCCTCGCCAACTTCCACTTCATGTGCGCCCGGCGGCGCCGCGCCGCCTTCCAGCGCGACAAGAGGGTCTTCTGCCAGCGGCACGCGCGCCTGCGGGACCCTGCCGTGAGCTCTGGGGCCATGTGGGGCGCTATGGGGCTCTATGGGGTGTCTGTGGGGCTCTATGGGGTGTCTGTGGGGTGTTTGTGGGGCTCTATGGGTCAACAAGAGGGTCTTCTGCCAGCGGCACGCGCGCCTGCGGGACCCTGCCGTGAGCTCTGGGGCCATGTGGGGCGCTATGGGGCGCTATGGGGTGTCTGTGGGGCTCTATGGGGTGTCTGTGGGGCTCTATGGGGCTCTATGGGGTGTCTGTGGGGCTCTATGGGGTGTCTATGGGGTGTTTGTGGGGCTCTATGGGTCAACAAGAGGGTCTTCTGCCAGCGGCACACGCGCCTGCGGGACCCTGCCGTGAGCTCTGGGGCCATGTGGGGCGCTATGGGGCGCTATGGGGTGTCTGTGGGGCTCTATGGGGTGTCTATGGGGTGTCTGTGGGGCTCTATGGGGCTCTATGGGGTGTCTGTGGGGTCCCTGTGGGTCTCTATGGGTCTGTATGGGTCTCTATGGGGTTCCTATGGGTGTCTATGGGGTCCCTATGGGTCTCTATGGGGTCTCTATGGGTCCCTGTGGGTCTCTATGGGGTCCCTATGGGTCTCTATGGGGTCTCTATGGGTCCCTGTGGGTCTCTACGGGGTCTCTATGTGTCCCTATGGGTCCCTATGGTTCTCTATGTGTCCCTATGTGTCTCTATGTGTCTCTATGTGTCTCTATGGGTCTCTATGGGTCTCTATGGGTCTCTATGGGTCTCTATGTGTCTCTATGGGTCCCTATGTGTCTCTATGGGTCTCTATGGGTCTCTATGTGTCCCTATGTGTCTCTATGGGTCTCTATGTGTCTCCATGGGTCTCTATGGGTCTCTATGGGTCCCTATGTGTCTCTATGGGGTCTCTATGGGGTCTCTATGGGGTCTCTATGTGTCTCTATGTGTCTCTATGTGTCTCTATGGGTCCCTATGGGGTCTCTATGTGTCTCTATGTGTCTCTATGTGTCTCTATGGGTCCCTATGGGGTCTCTATGGGTCTCTATGGGTCTCTATGGATCTCTATGGGTCTCTATGGGGTCTCTATGTGTCCCTATGTGTCTCTATGGGTCTCTATGGGTCTCTATGGGTCTCCATGGGTCTCTATGGGTCTCTATGGGTCCCTATGTGTCTCTATGGGTCCCTATGTGTCTCTATGGGGTCTCTATGGGGTCTCTATGTGTCTCTATGTGTCTCTATGGGTCTCTATGGGTCCCTATGTGTCTCCCTGGGTCTCTATGGGTCTCCATGGGTCCCTATGGGTCCGCAGGCGCTGGTGCAGGATGAGGGCTTTGCGGTGCTGCGCCGGGTCCTGGTGGACTTCGGGGGCCTGAGCCTCAAGAGGAAGTTCCTGGGGGGGCTGGAGCCCGAGGCCGTGCACATGATGATCGGTCAGCAGCACCCATGGGTGCTGGGGGGGGGGGCACCTATGGGTGCTGGGGGGGGGTCCTGTGGGTGCTTATGGGGGTTCTATGGGTGCTGGGGTGGGGTCCTATGGGTGCTTATGGGGGTTCTATGGGTGCTGGGGTGGGGTCCTATGGGTGCTTATGGGGGTTCTATGGGTGCTGGGGTGGGGTCCTATGGGTGCTTATGGGGGTTCTATGGGTGCTGGGGTGGGGTCCTATGGGTGCTTATGGGGGTGTTCTATGGGTGCTGGGGGGGTCCTATGGGGGGTTAAATGGGCCTAGGGGGCACCCATGGGAGCTCGGGGGGGTCCTCTGGGTGCTGGGGGGGCACCCATAGGGTTCAGTGGGGCACCCATAGGGTTCAGTGGGGCACCCATAGGGTTCAATGGGGCACCTGTAGGGTTCAATGGGGCACCCGTAGGGTTCAGTGGGGCACCCATAGGGGTCAGTGGGGCACCCATAGGGTTCAATGGGGCACCCATAGGGCTCCATGTGGGCCACCCATAGGGTTCAGTGGGGCACCCATAGGGTTCAGTGGGGCACCCATAGGGTTCCGTGGGGCACCCATAGGGTTCAGTGGGGCACCCATAGGGTTCAGTGGGGCACCCACAGGTTTCAATGGGGCACCCATAGGGTTCAGTGGGGCACCCGTAGGGTTCAGTGGGGCACCCGTAGGGTTCAATGGGGCACCCGTAGGGTTCAGTGGGGCACCCGTAGGGTTCAATGGGGCACCCGTAGGGTTCAGTGGGGCACCCATAGGGTTCAATGGGGCACCCATAGGGCTCCATGTGGGGCACCCATGGGTGCTGACGGGGGGTTCCCGCAGGCTCCATCCGCATCGACAGCCTGGGGGCGCTGACGGAGCTGTCGGAGCGCGACGGGAGGCTGTTCCCTGTGGGATACCAGTGAGGGAGGGGGAGGGGAGGGGGGGGAGGGGAGGGGGTGGGGGAGGGGAGGGGGAGGGGAGGCTGTTCCCTGTGGGATACCAGTGAGGGAGGGGAGGGGAGGGGGGGGGGAGGGGAGGGGGGGGGAGGGGGGGGGGAGGGGAGGCTGTACCCTGTGGGATACCAGTGAGGGAGGGGGAGGGGAGGGGGGAGGAGGGGCGGGGGGGTGGGGGGAGGGGGGAGGGGAGGGGTGGGGGAGGGGTGGGGAGGGGGGGATGGGAGTCTGGTGGGGGATGGTTCATACTGGTTCTAACTGGTCCGTCCTGGTTCTAACTGGTCCATACCGGTTCTAACTGGTCTATACTGGTTCTAACTGGTCTATACTGGTTCTAACTGGTCCATACTGGTTCTAACTGGTCCATACCGGTTCTAACTGGTCTATACTGGTTCTAACTGGTCTATACTGGTTCTAACTGGTCCATACCGGTTCTAACTGGTCTATACTGGTTCTAACTGGTCTATACTGGTTCTAACTGGTCCATACCGGTTCTAACTGGTCCATACTGGTTCTAACTGGTCCATACCGGTTCTAACTGGTCCATACTGGTTCTAACTGGTCTATACTGGTTCTAACTGGTCTATACTGGTTCTAACTGGTCCATACTGGTTCTAACCGGTCCATACCGGTTCTAACCGGTCCATACTGGTCCCATACTGGTTCTGACCGGTCCGTCCTGGGCAGGTGCTGGCGCCTCTACTGGAGCACGCGGGACGCGCGGCGCCGGTGCTGGTACCGCTGCCGCATCCTGGAGCAGGCGCCGGGGGGGGAGGGGGGCGCCCGGCCCCGCCCCCCCGACATCAACCGCACCATCGCCCACGGTACGGCGCGCCCCATAGCGCCCCATGGCCGCCCCATTGATCCCTGTGGGTGACCCATAGCGCCCCATGGCCGCCCCATAGCACCCCATGCCCGCCCCATGGCTGCCCCATAGCGCCCCATGGCCCCCCCATGGCTGCCCCATAGCGCCCCATGGCTGCCCCATAGCGCCCCATAGCGCCCCATGGCCGCCCCATGGCTGCCCCATAGCGCCCCATGGCTGCCCCATAGCGCCCCATGGCTGCCCCATTGATCCCTATGGGTGACCCATTGCCCCCCATGGCCACCCCATCACCCCCCATGGTCGCCTCATTGAGGCCTATGCGTGCCCCATTGATCCCCAAGGCCATCCCATTCCACCCCATGGCCGCCCCATTGATCCCCATGGCTGCCCTGTTGATCCCTATGGATGCCCTATTGATCCCTATGGGTGCCCCATTGATCCCTATGAAGACCCCATTGATCCCTATGGGTGCCCCATTGATCCCCATGGCCACCCCATTGATCCCCATGGCTGCCACGTTGATCCCTATGGCCACCCCATTGATCCCTATGGGTGCCCCCTTTAACCCCCCCTTTCTCCCCACAGGTCCCACCCCAGGGTCCCCCCCCAGCCCCATTGCGGGGGGGGGCCCAGAAGGAGCTTGGGGCACCCCCAGCCCCCACCCCACCCGGAGACCCCCAACGGGGACCTCATCCAGGCCCCTCCCATCCCCCGGTGGGTGCTATGGGGGTAATTGGGTCAATGGGTGCTATAGGGGCTATGGGTGCTATGGGGGCAGTGGGTGCTATAGGGGCTATGGGGGTAATTGGGTCAATGGGTGCTATAGGGGTAATTGGGTCAATGGGTGCTATAGGGGCTATGGGGTCAATGGGTGCTATAGGGGCTATGGGGGTAATTGGGTCAATGGGTGCTATAGGGGTAATTGGGTCAATGGGTGCTATAGGGGCTATGGGGTCAATGGGTGCTATAGGGGCTATGGGGGTAATTGGGTCAATGGGTGCTATAGGGGCTATGGGTGCTATGGGGGTAACTGGGTCAATGGGGCTAATGTTGGCTTTGGGGGCAATGGAGGTAATGGGGGGTAATGGGGGCCATGGGTGCTATGGGTGGTAGGGGTGCTATGGAGGCAATGGGTGCTATGGGGGCAATGGGGGGCAATGGGTGCTGTGGGGGCAGTGGGGGGCAATGGGTGCTATGGGGCTGCCCCATTGACCCCCCTTGTGTTCCCCCCCCCCGCAGGCAGCGCCCCCCCCGTCCCCCGTCACATCCTGACCGTTGGGGACCCCGAGTTCCCCCCCCCCCGCCGGGCCCGCAGGACCCTGGCACCCATGGGTGCCCCCCAGCGCTGGCCCAATGGGGCACCCAATGGGTCAGTGGCGCCCAACGGGACACCCAACGGGACACCCAATGGGTCAATGGCACCCAATGGATCAATGGCGCCGAATGGACCAAGCTCAACGTCAAGGCCGTCGTCACCCATGGATCCAGCAGCACCCAATGAGCACCCATCGCCTATGGGACCAGCATCGCCTATGGGGCACCCATCGCCTATGGGCCCAGCATCACCCAATGGACCGAGCCCATCGTCACCCATGGGCCCTCCCCCGTTGTCCCCATTGGCCCTCAGCGCCCTCCTGGGGGGGGCACCCATGGGTGACAGCAGCGAGGACGAGGACGTGGGTGCCAATGGGGGCACCCATCGGGGGGGCACCCATCGGGACCCCTATGTCCACTTCAGCCGCACCGTGGTGGCCCGGCCCCCCCCGGCCCCTTGCCCCGCCCCCCCGTCGCCCCACATTGACCAATTGGATGGGGTGGACGATGGGGACAAGGGTGGGGGGGCACCCATGGGTGCCCCTCTGGGGCCAGCACCCACGGAGCACCTCCCCTCTGAGCTCGTGGACTTCGTCCTCAAGAGCATGGCGGCCAATGGCACCCAAGGGGTCAATGGGGACGGGGGCACCCAATGGGTGCCCCCCAAGGGGGATGGAGGCGGCACCCAATGGGACGGCACCCATCGAGAGGACGGCACCCACGGCCACGAGGCCCATAGCACCCAATGGGACGGCACCCATCGAGAGGACAGCACCCATGGCCACGACGCCCATAGCACCCAATGGGACGACACCCATCAAGATGGCACCCATGGCCATGATGCCCATAGCACCCAATGGGACAGCACCCATAGAGGAGACGCCGCCGCCACCCACCCCAATGGCACCCATGGGTGCACCGCCTCCGTAGGGGACAATGGGGCCCATTGGGTGCCCCCGTGGCCACCCAAGCGCCCCGGGGACCCCATGGGTGCTGGAGCACCCAAACGGGCCCGGATGGAGCCCATTGGGGCCCATGGGGACGGAGGCGAGGAGGAGATGGATGCGAGGTAAGGATCGGGCCCGCAGCACCCATGGGTGCCAGTGGGAGGCGGGAGGGGCACCTGGTGGGGCCTATGGGTGCTCATTGTGTGTGCGTGGGGGTGGTCCTGGTTGGCCCCGTGGGCCCCATTGACACCTATGGGTGCCCCATTGGCACCCTCAGGAGCACCCATGGGTGCTGCGCTGCACCCACAGGGCCATGGGGGACCCCGAAGCGAGCATCAAAGAGGAGCCCGAGGAGTTGAGTGACGGCGGCAGCTTTGGGTGAGCACCCATCTGTGGCACCCAGCACCCATAGCACCCATCCATTGCACCCAGCACCCATAGCACCCATCTATAGCACCCATCTATGGTACCCAGCACCCATCTATAGCACCCATCTGTAGCACTCATCCATGGCACCCAGCACCCATCTATAGCACTCATCCATGGCACCCAGCACCCACAGCACCCATCTATAGCACCCACCTATAGCACCCTTCATAGCACCCATCATCTTTAGCACTCATTATCCATAGCACCCATCTATAGCACCCATCATCTATAGCATCCATTCATAGCACCTATTACCCATAGCACCCATCATCTTTAGCACCCATTATCCATAGCACCCATCTATAGCACCCATTATCTATAGCACCCATCATCCATAGTGCCCATCCATAGCACCCAGCACCCATAGCACCCATCCATAGCCCCCACCCCCCTTTGTCTCCCCACAGGTCCCCCCCCACAAGCGACACCGTCCTGGACCCCCCCTGGGCCGCCTGTGCAGGTAAGGAGCACCCATGGGTGCCCCATTGCACCCTATGGGGGGAGGGGGGGGGAGGTCCTTATGGGAGCACCCATGGGTGCCCCCATCACATCCTATGGGGGGGTTCGGTTGCTATGGGAGCACCCATGGGTGCCCCTCACCCATGGGTGCCCCCCACCCATAGGTGCCAGCTCAGAGGATGAGGCCCCGCCCCCAGAGGGGCCCCTCCCCCCCCCAGGGCGCCCCCGTCTCTGCTTCGAGATCAGCAGCGAGGACGGGCTCAGGGTGACGGCGGCCTCCATCGAGGGTAGCCAATGGGAGAGCGGGATGGTGGGAGCCAATGGGAGAGCGGGATGGTGGGGGCCAATGGGAGAGCGGGATGGTGGGAGCCAATGGGAGAGCGGGATGGTGGGAGCCAATGGGAGAGCGGGATGGTGGGAGCCAGTGGGAGAGCGGGATGGTGGGAGCCAATGGGAGAGCGGGATGGTGGGAGCCAATGGGAGAGCGGGATGGTGGGAGCCAATGGGAGAGCAGGATGGTGGGAGCCAATGGGAGAGCGGGATGGTGGGAGCCAATGGGAGAGCGGGATGGTGGGGGCCAATGGGAGAGCGGGATGGTGGGAGCCAGTGGGAGAGCGGGATGGTGGGAGCCAACGGGAGGGCGGGATGGTGGGAGCCAATGGGAGAGCGGGATGGTGGGAGCCAATGGGAGGGCGGGATGGTGGGAGCCAATGGGAGGGTAGGATACTGGGATCCAATGGGAGATGGGAATAGTGGGAGCCAATGGGATCCAGGGATGGGTTAATGGGATCCAATGGGATAGAGGGGTGGGATCCAGTGGGGTGGAGGGATAATGGGATCCAATGGGATAGAGCGGTGGGATCCAGTGGGGTGCAGGGATAATGGGATCCAATGGGATAGAGGGGTGGGATAATGGGATCCAATGGGATAGAGGGGTGGGATAATGGGATCCAATGGGATAGAGGGGTGGGATAATGGGATCCAGTGGGATAGAGGGATGGGATAATGGGATCCAATGGGATAGAGGGGTGGGATAATGGGATCCAATGGGATAGAGGGGTGGGATAATGGGATCCGATGGGATAGAGGGGTGGGATAATGGGATCCAATGGGATAGAGGGATGGGATAATGGGATCCAGTGGGATAGAGGGATGGGATAATGGGATCCAATGGGATAGAGGGGTGGGATAATGGGATCCAATGGGATAGAGGGGTGGGATAATGGGATCCAATGGGATAGAGGGGTGAGATAATGGGATCAAATGGGATAGAGGGGTGGGATAATGGGATCCAATGGGATAGAGGGATGGGATAATGGGATCCAGTGGGATAGAGGGATGGGATAATGGGATCCGATGGGATAGAGGGGTCGGATAATGGGATCCAATGGGATAGAGGGGTGGGATAATGGGATCCAATGGGATAGAGGGGTGAGATAATGGGATCAAATGGGATAGAGGGGTGGGATAATGGGATCAAATGGGATAGAGGGGTGGGATAATGGGATCCAATGGGATAGAGGGGTGGGATAATGGGATCCAATGGGATAGAGGGATGGGATAATGGGATCCGATGGGATAGAGGGGTGGGATAATGGGATCGAATGGGATAGAGGGATGGGATAATGGGATCAAATGGGATAGAGGGGTGGGATAATGGGATCGAATGGGATAGAGGGATGGGATAATGGGATCCAATGGGATAGAGGGATGGGATAATGGGATCCAGTGGGATAGAGGGATGGGATAATGGGATCCAATGGGATAGAGGGGTGGGATAATGGGATCCAATGGGATAGAGGGGTGGGATAATGGGATCCAATGGGATAGAGGGGTGAGATAATGGGATCAAATGGGATAGAGGGGTGGGATAATGGGATCCAATGGGATAGAGGGGTGAGATAATGGGATCAAATGGGATAGAGGGGTGGGATAATGGGATCCAATGGGATAGAGGGGTGGGATAATGGGATCCGATGGGATAGAGGGGTGGGATAATGGAATCCAATGGGATAGAGGGGTGGGATAATGGGATCCAATGGGATAGAGGGGTGGGATAATGGGATCCGATGGGATAGAGGGGTGGGATAATGGGATCCGATGGGATAGAGGGATGGGATAATGGGATCCAGTGGGATAGAGGGATGGGATAATGGGATCCGATGGGATAGAGGGATGGGATAATGGGATCCAGTGGGATAGAGGGGTGGGATAATGGGATCCAATGGGATAGAGGGGTGAGATAATGGGATCAAATGGGATAGAGGGGTGGGATAATGGGATCCAATGGGATAGAGGGGTGGGATAATGGGATCCAATGGGATAGAGGGATGGGATAATGGGATCCAATGGGATAGAGGGGTGGGATAATGGGATCCAATGGGATAGAGGGATGGGATAATGGGATCCAGTGGGATAGAGGGATGGGATAATGGGATCCAATGGGATAGAGGGGTGGGATAATGGGATCCAATGGGATAGAGGGGTGGGATAATGGGATCCAATGGGATAGAGGGGTGAGATAATGGGATCAAATGGGATAGAGGGGTGGGATAATGGGATCCAATGGGATAGAGGGATGGGATAATGGGATCCAGTGGGATAGAGGGATGGGATAATGGGATCCGATGGGATAGAGGGGTGGGATAATGGGATCCAATGGGATAGAGGGGTGGGATAATGGGATCCAATGGGATAGAGGGATGGGATAATGGGATCCAATGGGATAGAGGGGTGGGATAATGGGATCCAATGGGATAGAGGGATGGGATAATGGGATCCAATGGGATAGAGGGGTGGGATAATGGGATCCGATGGGATAGAGGGATGGGATAATGGGATCCAATGGGATAGAGGGGTGGGATAATGGGATCAAATGGATAGAGGGGTGAGATAATGGGATCAAATGGGATAGAGGGGTGGGATAATGGGATCCAATGGGATAGAGGGATGGGATAATGGGATCCAGTGGAATAGAGGGATGGGATAATGGGATCCGATGGGATAGAGGGGTGGGATAATGGGATCCAATGGGATAGAGGGGTGGGATAATGGGATCCAATGGGATAGAGGGGTGAGATAATGGGATCAAATGGGATAGAGGGGTGGGATAATGGGATCCAATGGGATAGAGGGGTGGATAATGGGATCCAATGGGATAGAGGGATGGGATAATGGGATCCAATGGGATAGAGGGGTGGGATAATGGGATCGAATGGGATAGAGGGATGGGATAATGGGATCCAATGGGATAGAGGGATGGGATAATGGGATCCAGTGGGATAGAGGGATGGGATAATGGGATCCAATGGGATAGAGGGGTGGGATAATGGGATCCAATGGGATAGAGGGGTGAGATAATGGGATCAAATGGGATAGAGGGGTGGGATAATGGGATCCAATGGGATAGAGGGATGGGATAATGGGATCCAGTGGGATAGAGGGATGGGATAATGGGATCCGATGGGATAGAGGGGTGGGATAATGGGATCCAATGGGATAGAGGGGTGGGATAATGGGATCCAATGGGATAGAGGGGTGAGATAATGGGATCAAATGGGATAGAGGGGTGGGATAATGGGATCCAATGGGATAGAGGGGTGGGATAATGGGATCCAATGGGATAGAGGGATGGGATAATGGGATCCAATGGGATAGAGGGGTGGGATAATGGGATCGAATGGGATAGAGGGATGGGATAATGGGATCCAATGGGATAGAGGGGTGGGATAATGGGATCCGATGGGATAGAGGGGTGGGATAATGGGATCCAATGGGATAGAGGGATGGGATAATGGGATCCAGTGGGATAGAGGGATGGGATAATGGGATCCAATGGGATAGAGGGGTGGGATAATGGGATCCAATGGGATAGAGGGGTGGGATAATGGGATCCAATGGGATAGAGGGGTGAGATAATGGGATCCAGTGGGATAGAGGGATGGGATAATGGGATCCAATGGGATAGAGGGGTGGGATAATGGGATCCAATGGGATAGAGGGGTGGGATAATGGGATCCAATGGGATAGAGGGGTGAGATAATGGGATCAAATGGGATAGAGGGGTGGGATAATGGGATCCAGTGGGATAGAGGGATGGGATAATGGGATCCAATGGGATAGAGGGGTGGGATAATGGGATCCAATGGGATAGAGGGGTGGGATAATGGGATCGAATGGGATAGAGGGATGGGATAATGGGATCCAATGGGATAGAGGGGTGGGATAATGGGATCCGATGGGATAGAGGGATGGGATAATGGGATCCAATGGGATAGAGGGGTGGGATAATGGGATCGAATGGGATAGAGGGATGGGATAATGGGATCCAATGGGATAGAGGGATGGGATAATGGGATCCAGTGGGATAGAGGGATGGGATAATGGGATCCAATGGGATAGAGGGGTGGGATAATGGGATCCAATGGGATAGAGGGGTGGGATAATGGGATCCAATGGGATAGAGGGGTGAGATAATGGGATCAAATGGGATAGAGGGGTGGGATAATGGGATCCAATGGGATAGAGGGGTGAGATAATGGGATCAAATGGGATAGAGGGGTGGGATAATGGGATCCAATGGGATAGAGGGGTGGGATAATGGGATCCGATGGGATAGAGGGGTGGGATAATGGAATCCAATGGGATAGAGGGGTGGGATAATGGGATCCAATGGGATAGAGGGGTGGGATAATGGGATCCGATGGGATAGAGGGGTGGGATAATGGGATCCGATGGGATAGAGGGATGGGATAATGGGATCCAGTGGGATAGAGGGATGGGATAATGGGATCCGATGGGATAGAGGGATGGGATAATGGGATCCAGTGGGATAGAGGGGTGGGATAATGGGATCCAATGGGATAGAGGGGTGAGATAATGGGATCAAATGGGATAGAGGGGTGGGATAATGGGATCCAATGGGATAGAGGGGTGGGATAATGGGATCCAATGGGATAGAGGGATGGGATAATGGGATCCAATGGGATAGAGGGGTGGGATAATGGGATCCAATGGGATAGAGGGATGGGATAATGGGATCCAGTGGGATAGAGGGATGGGATAATGGGATCCAATGGGATAGAGGGGTGGGATAATGGGATCCAATGGGATAGAGGGGTGGGATAATGGGATCCAATGGGATAGAGGGGTGAGATAATGGGATCAAATGGGATAGAGGGGTGGGATAATGGGATCCAATGGGATAGAGGGATGGGATAATGGGATCCAGTGGGATAGAGGGATGGGATAATGGGATCCGATGGGATAGAGGGGTGGGATAATGGGATCCAATGGGATAGAGGGATGGGATAATGGGATCAAATGGGATAGAGGGGTGGGATAATGGGATCCAATGGGATAGAGGGATGGGATAATGGGATCCAATGGGGATAGAGGGGTGGGATAATGGGATCCGATGGGATAGAGGGATGGGATAATGGGATCCAATGGGATAGAGGGGTGGGATAATGGGATCAAATGGGATAGAGGGGTGAGATAATGGGATCAAATGGGATAGAGGGGTGGGATAATGGGATCCAATGGGATAGAGGGATGGGATAATGGGATCCAGTGGGATAGAGGGATGGGATAATGGGATCCGATGGGATAGAGGGGTGGGATAATGGGATCCAATGGGATAGAGGGGTGGGATAATGGGATCCAATGGGATAGAGGGGTGAGATAATGGGATCAAATGGGATAGAGGGGTGGGATAATGGGATCCAATGGGATAGAGGGATGGGATAATGGGATCCAATGGAATAGAGGGGTGGGATAATGGGATCGAATGGGATAGAGGGATGGGATAATGGGATCAAATGGGATAGAGGGGTGGGATAATGGGATCGAATGGGATAGAGGGATGGGATAATGGGATCCAATGGGATAGAGGGATGGGATAATGGGATCCAGTGGGATAGAGGGATGGGATAATGGGATCCAATGGGATAGAGGGGTGGGATAATGGGATCCAATGGGATAGAGGGGTGAGATAATGGGATCAAATGGGATAGAGGGGTGGGATAATGGGATCCAATGGGATAGAGGGATGGGATAATGGGATCCAGTGGGATAGAGGGATGGGATAATGGGATCCGATGGGATAGAGGGGTGGGATAATGGGATCCAATGGGATAGAGGGGTGGGATAATGGGATCCAATGGGATAGAGGGGTGAGATAATGGGATCAAATGGGATAGAGGGGTGGGATAATGGGATCCAATGGGATAGAGGGGTGGGATAATGGGATCCAATGGGATAGAGGGATGGGATAATGGGATCCAATGGGATAGAGGGGTGGGATAATGGGATCGAATGGGATAGAGGGATGGGATAATGGGATCCAATGGGATAGAGGGGTGGGATAATGGGATCCGATGGGATAGAGGGGTGGGATAATGGGATCCAATGGGATAGAGGGATGGGATAATGGGATCCAGTGGGATAGAGGGATGGGATAATGGGATCCAATGGGATAGAGGGGTGGGATAATGGGATCCAATGGGATAGAGGGGTGGGATAATGGGATCCAATGGGATAGAGGGGTGAGATAATGGGATCCAGTGGGATAGAGGGATGGGATAATGGGATCCAATGGGATAGAGGGGTGGGATAATGGGATCCAATGGGATAGAGGGGTGGGATAATGGGATCCAATGGGATAGAGGGGTGAGATAATGGGATCAAATGGGATAGAGGGGTGGGATAATGGGATCCAGTGGGATAGAGGGATGGGATAATGGGATCCAATGGGATAGAGGGGTGGGATAATGGGATCCAATGGGATAGAGGGGTGGGATAATGGGATCGAATGGGATAGAGGGATGGGATAATGGGATCCAATGGGATAGAGGGGTGGGATAATGGGATCCGATGGGATAGAGGGATGGGATAATGGGATCCAATGGGATAGAGGGGTGGGATAATGGGATCGAATGGGATAGAGGGATGGGATAATGGGATCCAATGGGATAGAGGGGTGGGATAATGGGATCCGATGGGATAGAGGGGTGGGATAATGGGATCCAATGGGATAGAGGGGTGAGATAATGGGATCAAATGGGATAGAGGGGTGGGATAATGGGATCCAATGGGATAGAGGGATGGGATAATGGGATCCAGTGGGATAGAGGGATGGGATAATGGGATCCAATGGGATAGAGGGGTGGGATAATGGGATCCAATGGGATAGAGGGGTGGGATAATGGGATCCAATGGGATAGAGGGGTGAGATAATGGGATCCAATGGGATAGAGGGGTGGGATAATGGGATCCAATGGGATAGAGGGGTGGGATAATGGGATCCAATGGGATAGAGGGATGGGATAATGGGATCCAATGGGATAGAGGGGTGGGATAATGGGATCGAATGGGATAGAGGGATGGGATAATGGGATCCAATGGGATAGAGGGGTGGGATAATGGGATCCGATGGGATAGAGGGATGGGATAATGGGATCCAATGGGATAGAGGGGTGGGATAATGGGATCGAATGGGATAGAGGGATGGGATAATGGGATCCGATGGGATAGAGGGGTGGGATAATGGGATCCAATGGGATAGAGGGGTGAGATAATGGGATCAAATGGGATAGAGGGGTGGGATAATGGGATCCAATGGGATAGAGGGATGGGATAATGGGATCCAGTGGGATAGAGGGATGGGATAATGGGATCCAATGGGATAGAGGGGTGGGATAATGGGATCCAATGGGATAGAGGGGTGGGATAATGGGATCCAATGGGATAGAGGGGTGAGATAATGGGATCCAATGGGATAGAGGGGTGGGATAATGGGATCCAATGGGATAGAGGGGTGGGATAATGGGATCCAATGGGATAGAGGGATGGGATAATGGGATCCAATGGGATAGAGGGGTGGGATAATGGGATCGAATGGGATAGAGGGATGGGATAATGGGATCCAATGGGATAGAGGGGTGGGATAATGGGATCCGATGGGATAGAGGGATGGGATAATGGGATCCAATGGGATAGAGGGGTGGGATAATGGGATCGAATGGGATAGAGGGATGGGATAATGGGATCCAATGGGATAGAGGGGTGGGATAATGGGATCCGATGGGATAGAGGGGTGGGATAATGGGATCCGATGGGATAGAGGGGTGGGATAATGGGATCCGATGGGATAGAGGGGTGGGATCCAGTGGGGTGCAGGGATAATGGGATCCAGGGATGGGATGAGGGATATTATGGGATGTGGGGTATTATGGGATGTGGGATATTATGGGATGTGGGGTATTATGGGATGCGGGGTATTATGGGATGCGGGGTATTATGGGATGTGGGGTATTATGGGATGTGGGGTATTATGGGATGTGGGGTATTATGGGATGTGGGATACAGGGATGGGATGCGGGGTATTATGGGATGCGGGGTATTATGGGATGCAGGGTATTATGGGATGTGAGGTATTATGGGATGCGGGGTATTATGGGATGCGGGGTCATACTCACGGCTCCATGCTGGTGCAGGGGCCTGGGCCGCGGTGCTGGAGCAGGTGCAGGAGGCGCGCGCCAAGGCCCGGCTCAAGCAGCTCTCGTTCGCCGGTGGGTGCCCCCCCATCTCCCCCAACCCCTATGGGTGCCGATGGGTGCCATTGACACCAATGGGTGCTGATGGGTGCTGATGGTTGTCTCTGACACCCATGGGTGCTGAATGGTTGTGGTGGGTGCTGCTGACAGCCATGGGTGCTGATGGGTGCTGTTGACACCCATAGATGCTGGTGGGTGCAGTTGATAGCCGGGGTTGCTGATGATTGTCGCTGACACCCATGGGTGCCAGTGGGTATCAGTGGATATCAATGGGTGTCAGTGGATGACAGTGGGTACCAATGAGTGTTAATGGGTACCAGTGGATGTCAGTGGGTACCAATGGGTGCCGCTGGGTGCCAATGGTTACCAATGGGTGTCAGTGGATGTCAGTGGGTGCTGATGGGTGCCGATGGGTGTCAATGGTTATCAGTGGGTGCAAATGGATGTCAGTGGATGCTGATGGGTGCCGATGGGAGTCAGTGGTTACCAATGGGTGTCAGTGGGTATGAATGGATGTCAGTGCTTACCAATGGGTACCAGTGGGTGCTGAAGGGAACCAATGGGTGCCGATGTGAGCTGATGGGTGCCGATGGGTAAGGGTGGGTGTCGATGGGTGCCGATGGGTGCCGCTGGGTGCCAGTCGGTACCGATGGGTGTCAGTGGATGTCAGTGGTTACCGATGGGTGCTGCTGGGTGTCGATGGGTGCCGACGGGTGTCGATGGATGTCAGTGGTTACCGATGGGTGCTGATGGGTGCTGACGGGTGCCAGTCGGTGCCGCTGGGTGCCACTGGGTGTCGATGGGTGCCGACGGGTGTCCTGGGTGCCGATGGGTGTGAATGGATGTCAGTGGTTACCGATGGGTGCCAGTCAGTGCCGATGGGTGCCGCTGGGTGTTGATGGGTGCCGATGGGTGTCAATGGATGTCAGTGGTTACCGATGGGTGCCAGTCGGTGCCGCTGGGTGCCGCTGGGTGTCGATGGGTGCCGGTGGGTGTCAATGGATGTCAGTGGTTACCGATGGGTGCCAGTCGGTGCCGATGGGTGCCGCTGTGTGTCAATGGATGTCAGTGGTTACCGATGGGTGCCAGTCGGTGCCGATGGGTGCCGCTGGGTGTCGATGGGTGCCGCTGTGTGTCAATGGATGTCAGTGGTTACCGATGGGTGCCAGTCGGTGCTGATGGGTGCCGCTGGGTGTCGATGGGTGCCGCTGGGTGTCAATGGATGTCAGTGGTTACCGATGGGTGCCAATGGGTGCCGATGGGTGTCAATGGATGTCAATGGTTACCGATGGGTGCCGCTGGGTGTCGATGGGTGCCGGTGGGTGTCAATGGATGTCAGTGGTTACCGATGGGTGCCAGTCGGTGCCGATGGGTGCCGCTGTGTGTCAATGGATGTCAGTGGTTACCGATGGGTGCCAGTCGGTGCCGATGGGTGCCGCTGGGTGTCGATGGGTGCCGACGGGTGTCCTGGGTGCCGTGCAGGGATGAGCGGGCTGCGGGTGCTGGGCATGCACCACGACGCCGTCGTCTTCCTGCTGGAGCAGCTCCCGGGCGCTGGCTCCTGCTCCCGGTACCGCTTCCGGTACCACCCGCGCCGGGAGCGGGGCCCCCCCCACAGCCCCCCCCACAACCCCTCCGGCTGCGCCCGCGCCGAGCTCTACCTGCGGTGGGTGCCAGCGGGGGTAATGGGAGTCAGTGGGTGTCAGTGGGGGTAATGGGTGTCAATGGGAGTCAGTGGAGGCTATGGGGGTCAGTGGGAGTCAGCAGGTGTCAATGGGAGTCAGTGGGTGCCAATGGGTATCAGTGGAGGTCAGTGGGTGTCAGTGGGGGCTATGGGTATCAATGGGAGTCAGTGGGGATCAATGGGTATCAGTGGGGGTCAGTGGGTGTCAGTGGGGGCTATGGGTATCAATGGGTGTCAATGGGGATCAATGGGTATCAGTGGGGGTCAGTGGGTGTCAATGTGGGCTATGGGTATCAATGGGTGTCAATGGGTGTCAATGGGGATCAATGGGTATCAGTGGGGGTCAGTGGGTGTCAATGTGGGCTATGGGTATCAGTGGGAGTCAATGGGGGCTATGGGACTGAGTGGGCGCAGTGGGGGGCAGTGGGAGTCAACGGGGGCTATGGGTATCAATGGGGGGCAGTGGGAGTCATGGGGATCAATGGGTGCCAATGGGTATCAGTGGGGGTCAGTGGGTATCAGTGGGGGTTATGGGACTGAGTGGGGGCAGTGGGGGGCAATGGGAGTCAGTGGGTGCCAATGGGTGTTAGTGGGAGTCAGTGGGGATCAATGGGTATTAATGGGTGTCAATGGGCATCAATGGGTTTCAGTGGGTGTCAGTGCCAATGGGCATCAGTGCCCCTCAATGTGTACCTATTCCCTTCCATCCACCTCCACCATTGTACCAGCACCCTTGGGGCACCCCCTAGGTGCCCCCCAGCACCCATGGGTGCCCCATTGTGACCCCCCCACCCTTTCCCCCCCCCCCATAGCAAATGCACCTTCGACATGTTCAGCTTCCTGGCATCCCAGCACCGCACCCTGCCCGAGGGGCCCCCCCCCCGTGAGGACGAGGAGGACGAGGTGCAGCTCAAACCCACACGGTGAGCACCCATGGGTGCCCCCTGCACCCATAGTTTGGGGGGGGGGGGGGTTGGGGTTGGGAGGACCCATGGGTGCCCCCTGCACCCATAGTGGGGATTGGGGTTGGGGGCACCCATGGGTAGGGGTTGGGGTCGGGGCACCCATGGGTGCTGGTTGGGGTCAGAGGCACCCATGGGTGGTGGTTGGGGTCGGAGGCACCCATGAGTGGTGGTTGGGGTTGGGGGCACCCATGGGTGGGGGTTGGGGTCAGGGGCACCCATGGGTGCTGGTTGGGGGTCGGAGCACCTTTGGGTGCCCTGACCCCGCCCCCAGCCGTGCCACCAGCCTGGAGCTGCCCATGGCCATGCGCTTCCGGCACCTCAAGAGAACGGCGAAGGAGGCGGTCGGGGTCTATCGGTGAGGGCACGGGGGTGATGGGTGCCAATGGGGTCAATGGGTGTCAATGGGTGTCATTGGGGTCAATGGGTGTTAGTGGGTGTCAATGGGGTCAATGGGTGGCATTGGGGGTCAATGGGTGGGAATGGGGTCAATGGGTGCCAATGGGAGTCTATGGCGTCAGTGAGTGCAGTGAAGTCAATGGGGTCAATGGGTGTGAATGGGTGCCAGTGGGGTCAGTGGGGGTGAATGGGGTCAATGGGGGTCAATGGGTAAGAATAGCTGCCAATGGGTATCAATGGGTGCCAATGGGTGTCAATGGGGTCAATGGTTGCCAGTGGAGGTAATGGGTGCCAATGGGGTCAATGGGTACCAATGGGTGTCAGTGGGTCCCAATGGGTGTCAATGGGTGCCAATGTGTCCCAATGGGTGCCAATGCGTACCAATGGGTGCCAATGGAGTCAATGGGTCCCGATGGGTGCCAGTGCGTACCAATGGGTGTCAGTGGGTACCAATGGGTCCCAATGGGTGTCAGTGGGTCCCAGCGGGTGCCAGTGCATACCAATGGGTGCCAATGGGTGCCGTGCCCTCCAGCTCGGCCATCCACGGCCGGGGCCTGTTCTGCAAGCGGAACATCGAGGCCGGGGAGATGGTGATCGAGTACTCGGGCATCGTCGTGCGCTCCGTGCTCACCGACAAGAGGGAGAAGTTCTACGACAGCAAGGTGGGGCCTGCCCCACAGCGACCCATAGAGGGACCCATGGAGAGCCCCATAGAGGGACCCATAGAGAGCCCCATGGAGGGACCCATAGAGAGCCCCATAGCACCCCATAGCAGGACCCACAGAGAGCCCTATAGAGGGACCCATAACAGTGCCTTGGGGATACTAAAGGGGCGCCATAGGGACACCATAGAGATGTCATTTGGGACGCATTGAGGATACCATGAGAATGACGTCTCCAGCCCCATAGTCACCTACCCAGCCCCATAACTCCCCCCCAGCCCCATAACTCCCTCCCCATCCCCATAGGTCCCCCCTCCAGCTCCATAGCTCCCTCTGCAGCTCCACAACCTCCCCAGTCCCATAACTCCCCCCCAGCCCCGCAAGTTACCCCCAGCCCCATAACTCTCCCTCTAGCCCCATAACTCCCTCCCCAGCCCCATAACTCCTTCCATAGCCCCTTAACTCCCTCCGCAGCCTCGCAACTTCCCCAGCCCCACAACCTCCCCAGCCCCATAACTCCCTCCTCAGCCCCACAAGTTACCCCCATCCCCACACCCCCCCCCAGCCCCATATGTTACCCCTACCCCCATAGCTCTCCCCCATCCCCATCACCCCCATCCCCATAACTCCTTCCATAGCCCCTTAACTCCCTCCGCAGCCTCGCAACTTCCCCAGCCCCACAACCTCCCCAGCCCCATAACTCCCTCCTCAGCCCCACAAGTTACCCCCATCCCCACACCCCCCCCAGCCCCATATGTTACCCCTACCCCCATAGCTCTCCCCCATCCCCATCACCCCCATCCCCATAGCTCCCCCCCAGCTCCATAGCTCCCTTTTCAGCCCCACAACCTCCCAGGCCCCGAAACTCCAACCCAGCCCCATAACTCTCCCCCTAGCCCCATAACTCCCTCCCCAGCCCCGTAACTCCCTCCCTAGCCCCTTAACTCCTTCCCCAGCCTCACAACCTCCCCAGCCCCATAGCTCCCTCCCCATCCCTATAACTCCCTCCCCAGCCCCATAGCTCCCTCCCCATCCCTATAACTCTCTCCCCATCCCCACAACCTCCCCATCCCCATAACTCCCCTCCAGCCCCATAAGTTACCCCCATCCCCACAGCTCTCCCCCATCACCCCCATCCCCATAGCTTCCCCCCCAGCCCCATAAGTTACCCCAATCCCCACAACCCCCCCCAAGCCCCATATCTCCCCCTAACCCCCTCCCCGTGACAGGGCATCGGGTGCTACATGTTCCGCATGGACGCGGCGGAGGTGGTGGACGCCACGATGCACGGCAGCGCGGCGCGGTTCATCAACCACTCCTGCGAGCCCAACTGCTACTCGCGGGTGATCCAGGTGGAGGGCGCCAAGCACATCGTCATCTTCGCGCTGCGCCGCATCCTGCGCGGCGAGGAGCTCACCTACGACTACAAGTTCCCCATCGAGGAGCCCGCTGCCAAGCTGCCCTGCAACTGCGGCGCCCGCCGATGCCGGCGCTTCCTCAACTGAGGGGCAGCGGGGCTGGGTTGGGGGGGGGGTGGGTGGGGGGCAATGGGGAGAGACGGAGATGGGATCTGGATGTAGTTATGGGGTACTAAAGATGTCTATAGGCAACGGTGATGATCTGGAGTCAATGGGAGGTAGTGGGGAGGAGATACGGAGGTGGGCTCGATGGCCTTGAGATACCTGCAAGTGATGGAGATGGGATCTGGATGTAGTTATGGGGTACTAAAGATGTCTATAGGCAACGGTGATGATCTGGAGTCAATGGGAGGTAATGGGGAGGAGATACGGAGGTGGGCTCGATGGCCTTGAGATACCTACAAGTGATAGAGATGGGATCTGGACGTAGTTGTGGGGTCTTAAAGATATCTGTAGGCAACGGTGATGATCTGGAGTCAATGGGAAGTAATGGGTAGGAGATATGGAGGTGGGCTCGATGGCCTTGAGATGCCTGCAAGTGATGGAGATGGGATCTAAAGGCAGTTATGGGGTCTTAAAGATGTCTATAGGCAACGGTGATGATCTGGAGTCAATGGGAGGTAATGGGGAGGAGATACGGAGGTGGGCTCGATGGCCTTGAGGTACCTGCAAGTGATGGAGATGGGATCTGGACGTAGTTGTGGGGTCTTAAAGATGTCTATAGGCAACGGTGATGATCTGGAGTCAATGGGAGGTAATGGGGAGGAGATACGGAGGTGGGCTCGATGGCCTTGAGATACCTGCAAGTGATGGAGATGGGATCTAAAGGCAGTTATGGGGTCTTAAAGATGTCTATAGGCAACGGTGATGATCTGGAGTCAATGGGAGGTAGTGGGGAGGAGATACGGAGGTGGGCTCGATGGCCTTGAGATACCTGCAAGTGATGGAGATGGGATCTGGACGTAGTTGTGGGGTCTTAAAGATGTCTATAGGCAACGGTGATGATCTGGAGTCAATGGGAGGTAATGGGGAGGAGATACGGAGGTGGGCTCGATGGCCTTGAGATACCTGCAAGTGATGGAGATGGGATCTAAAGGCAGTTATGGGGTCTTAAAGATGTCTATAGGCAACGGTGATGATCTGGAGTCAATGGGAGGTAGTGGGGAGGAGATACGGAGGTGGGCTCGATGGCCTTGAGATACCTGCAAGTGATGGAGATGGGATCTGGATGTAGTTATGGGGTACTAAAGATGTCTATAGGCAACGGTGATGATCTGGAGTCAATGGGAGGTAATGGGGAGGAGATACGGAGGTGGGCTCGATGGCCTTGAGATACCTACAAGTGATGGAGATGGGATCTAAAGGCAGTTATGGGGTCTTGGAGGTGTCTATAGGGGATGGGAAGGGGTTGGGGGTCAATGGGACCTCATAAAGAGGAGGTATGGAGGTGGCCCCATAGCCATTGAGATACTTACAGTCAACGGGAGGTGATGGAGATGGGATCTGGAGGTGGTTGTGGGGTCCTGGAGGTACCTATAGGGGATGGGGGGGGATGGAGGTCAATGGGAGGGGATGGAGATCAATGGGGGGATGGAGGGCAATGGGAGGTCAGGGGGAGGAGCTATGGAGGTGGTCCCAAAGCCCTTGAGATGCCTGCAGCCAATGGGGAGCCGCTATGGGGCACAGCCAATGGGGAACCAGGAACACTTAATGGACACCAACCCCAAGCCAGTGGGGAGCTGCTATGGGGCACAGCCAACGGGGAGGCAGGAATGCTCAAGGGACGCCAACCCCCCCCCAGCTAATGGGGAGCCTTTATGGGGCCCAACTGAACCCCAGCCAATGGGCAGCCAGGGACAGTCAATAAACACAAGCCCCCAGCCAATGGGGAGCCAGGAGCTCTCAATGGACACCAACCCCCAGCCAATGGGGAGCAGAGATTCGGGGCCAATGGCAGCCCTGGGGATGCCTCCAGCCAATGGGGAAGCAGCAGGAGGCGGGACCCGTCGTTGGGTGCAGTGAGGAGCACCCATGGGTGCTGTGGGGCACCCGCGCCCCACGTGGGGGCCGGGGACCTCTTTGGGGCCGTTTTGGGGGTGGGGTTTGTACCCGCAGGCTCCGCCCACAATAATCGAGGCCACACCCCTTTCCTTATATGGATCCGCCCCTTTCCCCCTGCCACACCCCCCTCTGCGCTCCCCCCGCCCCTCTCCTCCGCTCTCTGTTCCTATTGGCTGTCCCGTCTCTATGGTAACCCCTCCCCTCCGCGTTGGCCCCGCCTCTTCCCCAGAGTCCCATCCCCATTGGCCAAGCCCCCGTCTCATTCCCCCCTCCCCGCGCTGTCCAATCCCGTCCCTGCTTTCCCCTTTGGCCCCGCCCTCACCGCGCTCCCATTGGCTGAGCGCCGCTGCGCCCGCGCCGGAAGGGGCGGGGCCGGAAGCGGAAGCGCGGCTCGGGGCCTGTGGCGGTGGTGTGGAGGTAACGGAGCGGGGCCTGGGGCTTGTGGGCCCCAAAGTGGGGGGGGCAGTTATGGGTCTTAATGGGTGGCTATGGGGCAGTTATGGGTCCCAGTGGGGGGTTATGGGGCAGTTATGGGTCCCAAGGGGGGGCTGTGGGGCAGTTGTGGGTCCCAATGGGGGGCTATGGAGCAGTTATGGGTCTTAATGGGGGGCTGTGGGGCAGTTATGGGTCCCAATGGGGGACTGTGGAGCAGTTATAGGTCCTAAGGGGGGGCTATGGGGCAGTTATGGGTCCCAGGGGGTGATTATGGGGCAGTTATGGGTCCCAAGGGGGTCTGTGGGGTAGTTGTGGGTCCCAAGGGGCAGTTATGGGTCCTATGGGGCAGTTATGGGTCCAAGTGGGGGTTATGGGGCAGTTATCTGACCTGTGGGGCAGTTATGGGACCTATGGGTCAGTTATGGGTCCCAGGGGGTGGTTATGGGGCCGGGGGGGGGGTCACTTGTGGGGCAGAGCTGAGTTTTGGGGCGCAGATGAACCTGGAGCGCGTCTCCAATGAGGACAAGCTGGAGCTGTGCCGCAAGTACTACCTGGGTGAGCCCCATGGCACCTATAGAGCCCTATAGATGTCTATAGAGCCCCCATAGACCCCTATAGCCCCCCATAGGTCCCCTTTTCCTCCCCATAGACCCACTTTGCCCCCGCCATAAACCCCTATAGACCCCCACAGACCCCTATAGACCACCATAGACCCCCTCTCCCCCCCACATAATCCCCTATAGATCCCCTTAGACCCTCTATAGACCCCCTTTTTCCTCCCCATAAACCTCCTTCCCCCCATAATGCCCCATAGACCCCCATAGGCCCCCTTTTCCTCCCCATAGACCCACTTTCCCCCCTATAGACCCCTGTAGCCCCCTGTAGGCCCCCTTTTCCTCCCCATAGACCCACTTCCCCCCCCATAGACATCTGTAGCCCCCTGTAGGCCCCCTTTTCCTCCCCATAGACCGACTTTGCCCCCGCCATAAACCCCTATAGACCCCCATAGACCCCTGTAGATCCCCATTGACCCCCATACACCCCCTTTTCCTCCCCATAGTCCTCCTTTTCCCCACCCATAACCCCCTATAGACCCTCATATCCCTCCCATAGACCCCCCATAGCCCCCCCATAGACCCCCATAGCCCCCCCATATCCCCCCCTCGCCCCATAACCGCTATAGGCGCTGTTTCCCAGGGGGCTTTGCGCTCCTGCCCTTCCTGTGGCTCGTGAACGTGCTCTGGTTCTTCCGCGAGGCCTTCGTGGTGCCCCCCTATGGGGAGCAGGCGCTCATCCGGCGCTGTGAGTGCCTGTGGGGGGGGGATATAGGGGGCTATGGGGGGGTATAGGGGGGATATAGGTGTCTATGGGGGGATATGGGGTGGTTATGGGGCTCTATGGGGGGATATGGGGGGGTTATGGGGCTCTGTGGGGGGGTAATGGGGGCCTATGTGGGGCTATTAGGGTTTATAGGGGCCTATGTGGGGCATGGGGGTCTATGTGGAGGCTATGGAGGGTTTTACGGGGGTCTGTGGGGGTCTATGGGGTGGCTGTGGGAGGTATGGGGGTCTATAGGGGGCCTATGGGGGTCTATGGGGGATCTATGGTGGGCTATGGGTGTCTATGGGGGGATTTGGGGGTCAGTGGGGGGTCATTGTGGGTCTGTGTGGGTCTATGGAAGGTTCAGTTGTTAACCTGGGGTTCCCCCCCTTCTCTCCCCCCCCGTTCCTCCCTTTCCCCCCATTACCCCCTTTTCTACCCCTGTGTTCTCCCACATCCCCCATATGTTTTCTATATACCCCATATATACCCTTATATCCTCTATATACACCCCTATATATTTCCTATATACCCCATATATACCCTTATATCCTCTATATACACCCCTATATATTTCCTATATACCCCATATGTACCCCCCTATACCCTCTATATACACCCCTATATACGTCTCTATACCGCTGTATATACCCCTATATATATTCCTATGTACCCCCATCTCCCCCCATATACCCCTGTATCCCCCCAATATCTATACCTCTATGTACCACTATATACACCCCTATATATACGCCCCTATGTATATACCTTCGTGTATCTATATCCCCCTATACATATACCTCATATGTATACCTCTATATACCCCATATACTCCCTGTATATACCCCTATATATGTCTTTACATACTCCCCTATATCCCCCCCTAAACACCCCATACTCTCTATATACCCCCTATATACTCCCTATATACCCCCTAAACACCCCTGTACTCCTATATACTTCTATATATCCCTGTAAATATGTCGTTACATACTGCCTATATACCTCCCTATATAACCCTATATACCCTTATATACCCCCTATACACCCCATATACTCCTATATACCCCCTATACACTCCTATATACCCCATACATCCCCCCATATATATACGCTATATACTCCCTTATACATCCCCATATATATACCCTATATACCCCCTATATCCCTCCCTATACATCCCCCCATACATCCCCCCATACATATCCCCTATACCACCTATACATCCCCCCATATACCCCATATACTCCCCTATATCCCTCCCTATACATCCCCCATGCATCCCCCATATATATACCCTATATCCCCTATGCATCACCCCATACACCCCCCATATCCCCTATACATCCCCCCTATACATCCCCCATATATATACACCGTATATCCCCCCCATACATCCCCCCATATATACACCCATTATCCCCCATAGTGTCAAGTGTCAAAACACACATACAGAACAGTGATTCACCCTATATCCCCCCCATACACCCCCCATACATCCCCCATATATACCCTATATCCCCCCATACATTCCCCATATATACCCTATATCCCCCCATACATTCCCCCATACATACCCTATATCCCCCCCATACATCCCCCATATATACCCTATATCCCTCCCATACATCCCCCCATACATCCCCCCATATATACCCTATATCCCCCCATACATCCCCCCATATATACCCTATATCCCCCATACATCCCCCCATATATACCCTATATCCCCCCCATACATCCCCCCATATATACCCTATATCCCCCCATACATCCCCCATATATACCCTATATCCCCCCCATACATCCCCCCATATATACCCTATATCCCCCCCATACATCCCCCCATATATACCCTATATCCCCCCCATACATCCCCCCATATATACCCTATATCCCCCCCATACATCCCCCCATATATACCCTATATCCCCCCCATACATCCCCCATATATACCCTATATCCCCCCATACATCCCCCATATATACCCTATATCCCCCCATACATCCCCCATATATACCCTATATCCCCCCCATACATCCCCCCATATATACCCTATATCCCCCCATACATCCCCCCATATATACCCTATATCCCCCCATACATCCCCCCATATATACCCTATATCCCCCCCATACATCCCCCATATATACCCTATATCCCCCCATACATCCCCCATATATACCCTATATCCCCCCATACATCCCCCATATATACCCTATATCCCCCCCCATACATCCCCCCATATATACCCTATATCCCCCCATACATCCCCCATATATACCCTATATCCCCCCATACATCCCCCATATATACCCTATATCCCCCCATACATCCCCCATATATACCCTATATCCCCCCATACATCCCCCATATATACCCTATATCCCCCCATACATCCCCCATATATACCCTATATCCCCCCATACACCCCTCTGTACCCACGGCAGACGTGCGCCGCTCCGCCGTGGGTCTGTCGCTGTGGGTCCTGGCGCTGGGGGCCTGGGTCGGGGTGTTCCAAACGCAGCGGGCGCGCTGGGGGGGCTGGGGGGACCTGCTGGCCTTCACCCTGCCCCTGGGCACCCCATAGCGCCCCCCATAGCACCCCATAGCACCCCATAGCGCCCCATAGCGCTGTGGGGCACGATGGGCTCGCCCATGGAACCCCTCCCATTGCCAATGGGGGGGGGGGAACCAACACCAACAGCACCCCATAGCGCACCCCATAGCACCCCATAGCGCTGTGGGGCACGATGGGCTCGCCCATGGGACCCCTCCATTGGCAATGGGGGGGGACAACACCAACAACACCCCATAGCCTGCTATGGGGCACAATGGACTCGCCCATGGGACCCCCCCATTGGCAATGGGGGGGACAACACCAATGACACCCCATAACCCCCCCCCGCTATGGGGCTCAATGGACCCACTATTGGCCGGGAGGGGAGAGGTGAGGGGGGAAATGGGGTAAAATGAGGATTAAAATGAGGAGAAATGGTGTAAAATGAGGCTTGAAATGGGGTAAAATGGGGGTAATGGGGGAAAATGAGGGAAAATGGGTTAAAATTGGGTAAAATGAGGCTTGAAATGGGGTAATGGGGGAAAATGAGGGAAAATGGGTTAAAATTGGGTAAAATGAGGATTAAAATGAGGCTTGAAATGGGGGGAAATGGGGGAAAATGGGGTAAAATGAGGGAAAATGAGGTAAAATTGGGTAAAAGGATTAAAATGAGGGGAAATGTGTTAAAATGAGGGGAAAATGGGGAGAAATGGGTTAACATAAAGGGAAAGGGTAAAATGAGTGAAAATGGGGTAAAATGAGTGAAAATGGGGTAAAATGAGGCTTAAAATGAGGGTTAATGGGTTAAAATGGGAGGAAATGGGTTGAAATTAGGCTTAAAATGGGGTAAATGGGTTAAAACGGGAGGAAAAGGGTTAAAACGGGAGGGAAAGGGTTAAAATGGGAGGGAAAGGGTTAAAACGGGAGCAAATGGGTTAAAATGGGAGGGAAAGGGTAAAAATGGGAGGAAAAGGGTTAAAATGGGAGGGAAAGGGTTAAAACGGGAGCAAATGGGTTAAAATGGGAGGAAAAGGGTTAAAACGGGAGGGAAAGGGTTAAAAAGCAGCTTAAAATGGGGGGAAATGGTTTAAAATGAGGGGGAACGGGTGGAAATGGAAGGCAATGGTTAAAATCGGGGGGGGGGGGAATTCGGTTAAAATGGGTTAAATTGGGTAAAACCGGGTTTTTTACCCCAAACCTGTGGGGATTTACCTCAGACTCGGGGGAAGGGGGGGGCACAAAATGGCGGCCAGGCGTGAGGGAGGGGGGGGCACAAAATGGCGGCGGGACGTACCATTGCGGCGCTGGGGGGGGAGCAGCCATGTCCCTGGGTTGTTCCATAGGCTCTAAAGCGGGGCGGAATTTGGGGACCCCCCCGTTGTTCTTCGGGGGTGCTGATTGTGTGTGTGTGCCCCCCCAATGGGGGGGTGACGTCGTCTGACGTCATATAAAGGAATCCCCGCCCCCCCCCCCCCCATGCGGGTTTGGTGCGGTCCGGCCCGCTCCCCTCAGTGAATCCGCGTTGGCCCCGCCCACTCGGTGCTCATTGGCTGGGAGCGGCTGGGGGGCGTGGCCAAGAGGGGCGCCGGGCACCATGTTGGACTGCATCTCCCGTCACCCCCCGCGCCACAGCCGGGTCACCTCCCTAACCGGAAGTGGGGGAGCGGCACTTCCGGCGTCCGCCGCGCGCCGTCACGATGGAGGAGCTGGGGCTGCTGAGCGAGAAGGCGCAGGTGAGGCCCGAAACGGCGAGAAATCACCCAAAATCGGCTGAAATCACCCCAAAATCGGCTGAAATCACCTCAAAACACCCCAAAATCGGCCGAAATCACCCCAAAATCGGCCCGAAACACCCCAAAATCACCCCCAAATCGGCCAAAATCACCCCAAAACAGCCCCAAATCGGCCCAAAACTGCCCCAAATCGCCCCAAACCTGGCCCAAAATCACCCCAAATCACCCCAAAATCGGCCTGAATCACCCCAAACCAGCCCCAGATCGCCCGAAATCACCCCCAAACCGGCCAAAATCACCCCAAATCACCCCAAAATTACCCCAAAACAGCCCAAAATCACCCCAAACCAGCCTAAAATAACCCCAAACCAGCCCAAAATCTGCCGAAATCATCCCAAAATCTCCTCAAATCACCCCAAAATTGCCCGAAAGCACCTCAAAATTCCCCAAATGACCCCAAAAGAGCCCCAAAGCAGCCTGAATTCACCCCAAAATGCCCCTAAACCACCGCACATCCCCGCTTCCATGGGTGCCCCCCCACCCCCCCATTGTTTGCCCCTCCCCATGTCTATGGGTGCCCCCCCATGTCTATAAGTGCCCCTCCCATGGGTGCCCCCCCCCCATGGGTGCCCCCCCATCTCGATGGGTGCCCCCCACCCATGGTGCCCCCCCATGTCTATGGGTGCCCCCCCTTCTATGGGTGCCCCCCCATGTCTATGGGTGCCCCCCCTCCCATGAGTGCCCCCCCATGTCTATGGGTGCCCCCCCTCCCATGGGTGCCCCCCCATGTCTATGGGTGCCCCCCCACCCATGGGTGCCCTCCCATGTCTATGGGTGCCCCCCACCCATGGGTGCCCCCCCCCCAGGAGGAGCTCCCTGCCCTGGCTGCCCCCAGGCCCCCCCCCGGGCTGTCCTTCCTGGTGCCTGAGCCCGAGGACCTCGAGGACCTCTACAGCCGGTACAAGGTAGGGGGGGACATATGGGGGGCTATGGGGTTATGGGGGCTATGGGGTAGTGGGGGGCTATGGGGGGCTATGGGGGCTATGGGGTAGTGGGGGCTATGGGGTAATGGTGTGCTATGGGGTAATGGGGGCTATGGGGTAGTGGGGATAATGGGGGGCTATAGGGGCTATGGGGTAGTGGGGGGCTACGGGGTAATGGGGGTCAGTGGGGGTGATGGGGGTCAATAGGGTAATGGGGGCAATGTGGGTCAGTGGGGGTCAATTGGGGTCAGTGGGGGTCAGTGGGGGTCAATGGGGGTCAGTAGGGTCAATGGGGGTCAGTGGGGTCAATGGGGTCAGTGGGGGTTAGTGGCATCCACGGGGATCATTATGGGATGGAGAGCCTCATTATTATGGGCTGTGGGCCCTATTTATGGTCTGAATGGTGACTATTATGGGATGAATAGTGACCATGGTGGGATGGATAGTGATCATTATGGGATGGATGGTGGCTATTATGGTCTGTATGTGAGCATTATGGGATGGATAGTGGCTATTACGGCGTGTGTGTGGGCATTATGGGATGGATAGTGGCTGTTACAGGTTAGATACTGACCATTATGGGATGGACAGTGACTAGTATGGTCTGTCTGTGACCATTATGGGATGGGCAGTGTCCATTATGGCCTGTATGGTGGCTATTATGGAGCGTGTGGGACCATTATGGGATGGATTGTGGCTATTATGGCGTGTATGTGACCATTATGGGATGGATGGTGGCTGTTATGGCGTGTATGTGATCATTTTGGGACGGACAGTGACTATTATGGTCTGTATGGTGGCTATTATGGTGTGTACGTGACCATTATGGGACGGACAGTGACTATTATGGTCTGTATGGTGGTTATTATGGTGTGTACGTGACCATTATGGGACAGACAGTGACTATTATGGTCTGGCGCAGCGGCTGCAGCAGGAGCTGGAGTTCCTGGAGGTGCAGGAGGAGTACATCAAGGACGAGCAGAAGAACCTCAAGAAGGAGTTCCTGCACGCGCAGGAGGAGGTCAAGCGCATCCAGAGCATCCCCCTCGTCATCGGGCAGTTCCTGGAGGCCGTCGACCAGAACACGGCCATCGTGGGCTCCACCACCGGTGGGCACGGCGAGGGCAGGGGGTAGCCCCATATTTCAGCAGCAAGGATAGAGCCCCATAGAGCAAGGCCATGGAGAGAGCCCCATAGATCAGCACCATGGATAGGGCTCCATAGGTCAGCACCATGGATAGGGCTCTATGGCTCAGCACCATGGATAGGGCTCTATAGGTCAGCACCATGGATAGAGCCCCATGGGTCAGCACTATGGAGAAAGCCCCATAGATGAGGGCCGTGGATAGAACCCTATGGCTCAGCACCATGGACAGAGCCCCATGGGGCAGCCCCATACCTAGGGGATGATGGGGGGGCTGTAGCCCTATAGATTAGGGATGTGGAGCGACCTCCACTGACTCTCATTGGCTCCTATTTCTTCCTATTGACCCCTATTGCCCCCATTGACCCCTTTGATTCCCATTGACTCGCATTGGCCCCCATTGACTCCATTGACCCCCGTTGACGCCCTTTGACCCCCATTGACTTCCATTGACCCCCATTGACTCCCATTGACCCCCATTGGCCCCCATTGACCCCATTGACTTCCATTGGCCTCCACTGACTCCCATTGACCCCCATTGACTTCCATTGGTCTCCACTGACTCCCATTGACTCCCATTGACCCCCATTGACTCACATTGACTCCCATTCACTCCCACTGACGCCCCTTGCCCCCCCTTGCCCCCATAGGCTCCAATTACTACGTGCGCATCCTGAGCACCATCGACCGGGAGCTGCTCAAGCCCAACGCCTCGGTGGCGCTGCACAAGCACAGCAACGCCCTGGTGGACGTCCTGCCCCCCGAGGCTGACAGCAGCATCATGATGCTCACCGCCGGTAGGGCCGCCGTGGGGCAGCGGTGCGGACGGATGCAATGGGGAATCAGTGGGGCTGTAATGGGGAGGGAAGGAAGAATCAATGGGGCAGCAGTGGGGCTGTAATGGGGTGGCAATGGGGAGGGAAGGGGGAAGCAATGGGGAGAGTAAGGGGAAGCAATGGGGAATCTGTGGGGAAGCAATAGGGTAGCAATGGGGAAGTAATGGGGCAGCAATGGGGAAGCAATGGAGAGAGTAAGGGGAAGCAATGGGGAATCTGTGGGGAAGCAATGGGGAATCTGTGGGGAAGCGATAGGGTAGCAATGGGGAAGTAACGGGGCAGCAATTGGGATGCAGTGGGCATGCAATGGGGCAGCCATGGGGTAGCTATGGGATA